GGATGGATTGCCACCCTTGCCTAATCAGGGTGCTGCTGGGCTTGAGTAATATAACCTGAAAGTTGCCTTCAGCCTGCTAGCTTCCTTCTCAAGTGTAGACAAATACATTTCACTCAAGAAATATTATATATTGTATGTGTGAGCCTAGAACACTGAGAGGCTCAGGCCAGAAAAGCCAGCTGTAGGTTCCAGCATGCAAGAAGAGCCCTCCAGAGATTGCAAGATTACAACTGCCATCATTGGCTTTGCTGGCTGGGATTAGTGGGAGTTGGACTACAACCACATCAGGAGGACCACAGCCCTGGTGTATAATTCCCCTACTCAACAAATTTGTACCTCGTCTTTCCTCCCAAAGAAACCCAGGGTGGCAAACAAATCTGTAATAAAAATACTAGTAAAAATAAAATAAAATTCTGTAGCACATGCTGAGTTTCTTCAGCAGACTAATCTGTCTTGTGCAGGACTCGCTGAATGCAGAAAGCTTGCAAAGACCGCTGGCACATATTAATGCATTTCATGGCTCACAAGTTTCTTTTTCTTAGGGGACCTTGGACATGTGACATCCATAACCAATCCCCAGGTGGAAGAAGGTGATAGCCGATTTTTGGCCAATGAAGTCTTGCAAGAGGTAATGATGTGGGCTTTCTTTGGTTCATGGGGCTTCAGCAGAAACTTATACACTTCCCATTAAAATCCCTTTTCCTGAAGAGAGATGCTGATTTGAACATGATCAGACTTGGGTCCATGTTTTTTTCCTTTTAAAATCTTCTGCTTCCTCCATAGCAATACTGCTACCTGCCCAAAGCAGACATCTTTGCCCTTGCACTGACCATCTCTCTGGCAGCAGGCTGTGGTTCCCTGCCTACCAACGGCACCCTGTGGCATCACATCCGCCAAGGCAACCTTCCGCTAATCCCTCAGCAGCTGTCGCGGGGCTTTGCAGAACTGCTCAGTGTGAGTGTCCTTTGGGGGAGGACTGTAGCTCAGTGGTACAGCATCTGCTTTGCATGTAGAATGTCCCAGGTTTGGTTCCAGTCATCTCCAGGTGGGGCCAGGAGAGACCCCTGCCTGAAACCCCGAAGAGCTGCTGCCAGCCAGTGTAAGCAATACTGAGCTGAATTGACAATGGTCTCATTCAGTATAAGGCAGCTACCTAAGTTCCTAGCATGAGGAGAGCAGGGACATTTCCACACATCAATGATATGAGCCATGGTGCAGTCGGATCAGGACTTTGAGGCAGAAGTTAAGGACCCCACTCAGCAGAATGAGGAGGGTGCTCAAATCATAGAATCATAGAGTTGGAAGGGACCCTGCAATGCAGGAATACACAGCTGTCCCATATGAGGATCGAACCTACGACTTTAGGGTTATCAGCACCACGCTCTAACCAACTGAGCTATCCAGTTATGTAGCAGGGTAGGCTTACCACGTAGCTGAAGTAATGCCCCAAACACATTGCCATCTAAAGAGCCTGCCCTTCCCCCCGAAAATTCAGCATCTAAAATTACCCAACCACATCACTGAATATAAAAATCTCTCTCTCCTCTGCTTGCATCAGCTGATGATTCATCCTGATCCGGTTGTGAGGCCATCAGCCACTGCACTAACCAAACACTCCGTCCTCCGGCCTTCTCTTGGGAAAGCTGCCCAGCTTCAGGAACAGCTGAATGTGGAGAGGTTCAAAATTGCCATGCTGGAAAGGTAAAAAAAAAAGGACCTTCACGCTTCAGTAGCTAATCAAGATTTGCAAACAACAAGGGCATTGGACTACCTGACTTGGAAGCGACTTCTCCGTTGCAGGGAGAACATGTTCTTAATCAGGTGTGAAGAGCCATTGGCTCCCCAGATGTTGACTGAACTTCAGCAACCACCAGGCCCCAAGCAAGAGTGGCCAGTGATTATGGGAGTTGTAGTTCAGCATTTGGATGGCCAATGCTTCTCCTATCTGTTCTAAATGCAACTGTGGCTTATGTCAGGAAAAAAATCCAAGCCATGTCTTTTCCTCATCATAGAATTCTGACATCTGGGTTTCCACATGCCTCTGATACAATCCTTCACTGGGAGTGGAACCTCTTCCTAGTAGACATTACCCAGACTGACTTTCCAAGCCAGTTTTATTTACCTCCTGCTGCTATTTTAAAGTGAGGAGGAGGGCCTGTGACTTTTCATGCTACTTTTGAGTGGGCAGGGCAAGGGAAGAATGGAGGTTGTGGCAAATCTACACCATGCAATTTAAAGCACTTTTATTCCACTTTTATCCACCGTGGCTTCCCCAAAGAATTCTGGGAAGCGCATTTTGTTGTGGGTGTTGACTTGTTATAAGACCCCACAACAAACCACAATTCCCAGGATTCTTGGGGGGGGGGGAGCCAATAAAGTGGCAAGAGTTTTGCCCATCCACACTGCAACCAAGTACAGTGTTATGTACTACACCACAACTTACTCTGTTATCAACAGTAGAAAGCCCACTTTCAGCAGTGGAAGGGGGCCCTGTGGGCAGGAAGGAAAGTCTGTATGTGCAAATGTTTGTGCGACGTTGGCAACCCCTTGTGTTAAATTGTATCAAATTCTCCTCTTTTTTTCAGAGAGCTGAGAGCAGCCCGTCTTGCCCAGAGCTTCAAAAAGGATAAATTTTTGGAATGTGCCCGGCCTCAAGAATCTGGAGCCAACTCAAAGCACCCAAATAGCAAGAAGCGTCTGGTTGGAGGGAAAAATGCCCGGTCGTTTAGCTTTACTGCTGGTGGCTTTTGACGGTTTAGGCTCCTCAAATCACTGAAAACACACCCCTTAGAAACAAGAGACACCTTCAGATTTAAGGGAGTGTGTTTTTACTTGTTCCATCACGCGATTGTCATAGTACTAAATCTGGCTACTTGTAAGAGATAGTTGCTACCCATCACATTACAACATAACCTCTTTTTAAACCTGTCTGTCACTTCCTTTTGCCTGAAACGAGTGGGTTTGTTTTCCCTCCCAGGATTATCAGAAGAGTGTACAACTTTATTTCCTTATTTCTAGCTTTTAGGTTATCCTGTGTTTTCAAGACCCCTTGTATTTTTCACTTTAAAAAACAACAACACACAGCCCCTAGCTGTATTTCTAATGGAATACGATTCAGGCAGCAGATGGCTTGTTCCTCTTGCAGTTGGGGAGGGCCCTGCCATCACTAACATGTAAGTCCCACCTACAGAGCCAGAGAAAGTAACCAATGCAAAATATATATTTAATATTCAACAGACCTAATGAACAGGATCCTTCTAAAATCAACAGGTTAGTCCTGCTGCCAAGGGGGGTTGAATAATATGAGTCTATATTTGGAAACAGATTATTTTTTCCATGAGCAATAGCAGACAGGATGCAGCCTGGCCTTGATGGCTGTCTTTTTTGTGTCCAGGATAGAGCACCTGCTGTTCTTAATGTGGGTGGCTGACAATACTGACAGGTAAAGGATTGATCTGTATTTTTGCCAAGTGTCGTCTGGGATGGGTGGTGGTGTTTCAAGCACATTGGACGGGAATTATAAATGCTTTTTAGAACGCCTTGATGTTCTGGGGATTATGTTATGTAAAGTGTTCATAAATAAAGTAAACCTTATGCCCCTGTCAAAGTGTTAACTTCTGTTGTGGTTTTCCTGAACACAAAACACTGCTTTGTTGACTAGCCCAGTCATGAAGACTTGGCCAATTGCAGCAGTGTCTTTTGGGGGTTTCAAGCCTCTCTGTTTGAGTTTTCCCGACTTTCCTGAAGATAGCTTTACTTCACTAGCTGCTGGACAGCACGAATTTTATAGCGGTTGAGAAATGATTCTTTTTCTTAAAAAAAGAAAGTGATACATTTGTGAATAAAGCTTCTAATTTTGTTTGCTTCTAAAGTGTATGTGTGTGGAAATTTTGTTTCAGATCATACAAGGGAGGGCTTGATGGCATTACCTGTGACCACACAGCTCTTGTGGCTGATTCAGGATGCATCTTGACTTGAGTTGCTCCACTGTGGGCTTTGTCAGAGTCTGTTGCAAACATTATGACATTTTTTGCTGTGCAAAGGCTGCACTGGGGGCGGGCTAGAGCTGGCATAACCAATATGGTGCCCTCCAGAGGCTTCTAGATGGCATCTCTCATCAGTCCAGACCTCTGGTCATGGTGGCTCTTCCTAGGCTTTGGAACTCTGTGCCTAGAGAAGTCAGACTGGCTTCCTCCTTGCTGTCCTTCTGCTGGCAGGTGAAGACCTTGGAGTAACAAGCCTTTGGGAACTGGCTGCTTTTAATGAAAGGGCTGGTGCTGCGCTGGTTTTATTGTAATTATCTGTATGTTTTTAATAGGTATAGCTTTAATTCCGCTAAGGGGTTCAAGCCCACCCAGGGACGGCTGTGGGCAGAACTGTGTTCCGACATGCAGAGGGCACCGTGTCAGCCGATTCCTGTGCTGGGTAGCAACATACCTGCGTTCATACATATCTAGTTCTCATAAAGCCCTTTGGGGGTTGTGAGGGCAATTGCTAAGAGTGCTGCTGGTCTTCAGGGGACCTAACTTCCAAGTCCAGCTATTCTCCCCCCTCCCCCCCCAGAAGCAGAAGACACGCACAGGCAGCATTTTTAAGAGGTGCGTCACTTTGGTTGCGGCTGGCCTGGGCGAAGTCTTCCTCGGAGTCATTCGTTCCAACGGGTCTACTCTGAAGTAGGACTGGCATTGGCTTCCTCGTGTGTGTATAGGGAGAAACAAGGACAACCCCCCTTGCTTATTTCTTCTCCTGAGTCCCTTTTAAATACTCCCGCTTTTGCAGGCGGCAGGAAACCGACGGGCCTGATCCCGCCTGGTCTCTCGCCGGCCTCGCTCTCCCCTCTGGTGGGGATGGAAATAATAGCGCCCCTGAAATCCGGAAACTGGTCCAGGGGCTATGGAGGAGGAGGGAGGGAAAGGCTGCTGCTGATTGGTTGATTGTTCGGTGCACGGCCCCAATTTCCGCTTTAAAGGCGCCGTTGGGTCCTCGGCCATCTTTCCGGTGTGGCGGCGCTCTATCCCTGCGCCTCTCTATGGTTCAACCCGGCGTGGTCTGCGCTGTAGGGGTCCCAATTCCATTTCACACCGGAAGTATCCGCGCGGACCCACGGTGGGTTTCTCTGTACTTTCCTATCTCTTTGGACCCGCGTAGCCCCGAGCGCGTGAATCTGGGGAGGGCAAACGGAGCCTCGTTTCCTTCCAGGTAAATAGAGGGTGCAGAGGGCGCGGGGAGAGAGTATTCAGGGGTGCATTTTTCCTAATGGTGGTGGTGGTTGTTTAAAGCAAGCCTTGCTTTGATTTCTGCCTGTAATTTGATTTTACCTGTAATCCGCCTTGTGTCCCGCCCGGGAAAAAGGCGGGGTATAAATAAATATATTATTTTTATCACGTATTATTATGATCATTGCAAACAAACCGCACGGTGCTCACCGCCCCCACCCAGTATATCCAGCCTCTTGCATCCTCATGTAAAACACCTGGAGCTGCACGCCCGCTGCTTTTGCCCTCGTGACTCCATGCACGTGTCCGTGTTTTGGCCTTAATTGCCGCGGATTCCGACGTGCCTATCTTGTTCATACGTGCATCTTAATTTTCTCCCTGATCCCTCGTATTGCACGATGAGCGCTCCCTTCTCTTTTCTCCCCAAAGCGGGTCCTGCCGGCAGCGCATCTCCACCTCTTCCTCGACACACATCTCTCCCAGAGCCGTCAGCATCACAAGCTTATTTTCCCACCACCACGTTGGGTTTGTTGTGAACTTTATAGAGAGAGCGACTTCAAATTTATGCTCTCTTAATGCCGTTTTTAAAGCACGCGGTTAAAACCCCATCTGCGCTACACATTTAAAGCACCCGCATATCGCTTTAAACAGCCATGGCTTCCTTCCCCAAAGAATCATGGGAGCTGTAGTTTGTAAAGGGTGCTGAGATTTGCTAGGAGGCCCCTGTTCACCTCACGGAACTGCAATTCTCAGAGTGGTTTAAGTGACAATCCCTCTTCCTAGAGAACTCTGGAAATTGCAGTTCTGTGAGGACTTGCACAATAAACGAGCTGCCTCCAAAGATCAGACTTTGTGCAGTAAGGAAAGTGGAAGGAAAATGCACTGGAAAATGGCACTTGCTTTGAGGCAATGTCATGTAACCCCCCTGCAAGCAAATCAGAACGAATGCTTATTAACTAACCAGCTTTGTCTAACCTTCACCGCAAACAAGGGAGAACGAACGCTTTAGTTAGCTGGCTGTGTTGCCATGTTCTGTGTCTTGTGTTCATAATTTGTAACTGTTCGGTGAAAGTAATATGTCATCTTTTGAATCATTGTATCTTTTCACCCCAGATTATTCTCTCATGTCTCTCAGCCATGTGAGCAGTGAGTCTGCTAGAGCAGTGTTTCCAAACTTATTTTGTGGCACGCACACCTGTTTACTGAAAAAAATTCGCGCACACCACCATTAAAGCCCCCCCGTGACGCAGCGCCAGCTATCACGGAGGAGCACGAAGTGAAATCTCCCCTTGCGGGAACCTCCAGCTTTGGGTGTGGAGGGCGCAGAGCGAGGACTGAGGACGGCGCAACGAGCGGGGGCTTGGTGTGTGGCGGCGATTAGCGGGGAGGAGGGGCGCCGGGCTTAGAGCGTCGTCGGAGTCTGTCTGTTGTGCTGTGCTGCCCGTGCATGCGCTCCTCTCCCGCTGTTCTTCTTTGCAGCCATGCTGCCGCTCATGTGAGCCTGCTAGAGTGAGCACTGTTGGCAGGGTGGTTGACCCTGTAAAATGCACCAACACACACCCTGCCCAAAGTATTGATATTTTGGTGGTGGCAGCTAGTGATTGTTTGGGATGATTAAGGGCATGGTTTAGTCCTGATTATAACCCTGGGGCAACAGCCAGAAATCCACTTAATTTGTCTTGTCTAATGCCTCCTGTGATGCTGGGTTAAGGAGAAGGGTCAGGATTCTCTGAAATACCGTATTTTTTGCTCTATAAGACTCACTTTTTCCCTCCTAAAAAGTAAGGGGAAATGTGTGTGCGTCTTATGGAGCGAATGCAGGCTGCACAGCTATCCCAGAAGCCAGAACAGCAAGAGGGATTGCTGCTTTCACTGCGCAGTGATCCCTCTTGCTGTTTTGGCTTCTGAGATTCAGGATAATTTTTTTCTTGTTTTCCTCCTCCAAAAACTAGGTGTGTCTTGTGGTCTGGTGCGTCTTATAGAGCGAAAAATACGGTACCTTGGGGGTTTGCCACAAAACTATTCACTTTAAACCAGGAATAAGGAATCTGTGTCCCTCCAGATGTTACTACGACTCCCATCACCCCAGACAGTTGGCTGCACTAGCTGGGGCTGGTGGGAGACCAAGCACCACAACATCTGGAAGGCAGGGTTTATCCCCTTTTCTTCCATGTCTGTTAAGATGGCCAGACTGTATATGCAAGATCTCTGGTGAGCTGCTGTGTTCCTTCAGCTACTCCCTATGCTTTGTGCTTTAGATGCATAGAGCAGATGGGATTTGTACCGAATGTGAAGTGTGCAGAAAAGACAAAAGGAATGGCTTTATTGTGTACTAATGTCTCCTTCTGATAAGAGACAAATTGAGTAAGGTAGTTTGGCAACTGGAAACTGACTGTTTTAATAACTGCTTTGTCTTTCAGAGGAACTAGCAAAGCCCCCATAAGAAGACTTAAAGAAAGCAGCAGAAATGTTGCGCAGGCCCTTACTGCAGGTAACAATTCCATATTCTTTTGGCACAGTTTTTAAGTGCTGTTTTCTGTGAAGTAGGAGACACATATCAAAAGCAAAATCAAGGAGCTGGAAGTTGCTTATGGTTGTATGTGTGCTATTTGATCATCTGGGTAGGCCGTGGTTTTGAAGTGTGAGAAGTGGTACAAAGAAACTACGAAAAATTGCAGCCCAGCTTAGTCGCAAAAGACCTTTGCAGGCAAATACTTCAGACCTCTGGCAGGGGGAGAGAAAAGCAGTAGCCCTGTCCGCTTTTGCCATCAACTTCCAACAGATTACCCACAAAGGAATGTCACCCTCAAGTGGAAAACAAAAAAGTTCCTCAGCCTAGTGTGTGGCACAATATGGCCTGGATTCTGGCAGAACCCTAGAATGCCAGCTTTAAGCAGCTACTTGTCAGCCTCTTGCTACTCCGTTGTGACAGGGTCCGAGAATCCCAGTCAGACCTGACCCTTTTAGACAATGTCAAAACCATATAGGTAAAGCACCATTCTACCCCTTTAACACCCATCGCTTCCCCCAAAGGATTCTGGGAGCTGTAGTTATTTAAGGGCACTGGGAGTTGTTAGGAGACCCATATTCTTCTCACAGCACTACAATCAATCTCTTTCCCGAGGGAACTCTGGGAACTGAAGTTCTGTGAGGAGAATGGGAGTATCTTAACAAACTGCAGTACCCAGGATTCTTTGAGGGAAGCCATGACTGTTAAAGTGGCATAATAGTGCTTTGAATGTATTGTACAAATGTGGCCTTATTGAACCTTTTATTTATTGGCACTAGAAAATAGATGAAGATGGGTGATGGCAGTTAGCAGAGCTGAAGTGTGTCACTGAACATCGAACTACACAAATGGCTGAAACTTGGATGCATCCTGGACCACTCACATCACCTTTTCCCTCTCCCCCGCTCCCCCGAAATCAAGTGACAGTCCCCACCAGAAATGCCCTATTGCAGGGATGGTAGCTGTGGCCTACAACCTAATTTCATGCAGACTGGAAAGTGAACAAAAATGGAGGGAAGGGGTGTAGCAAAAAGAGGGGGAAAGTAGCTTTGTTCCTCTCCCCAGCTCCATCACGTGGCCCCCATGAAATTACTTCCAGGGAAGTGTGGCCCTTGACAGAAAAAAACACGATTCCCTATCCCTGCTTTGCCCATTGTTTTCCTTTCTTCTAGGTGATGCGCCAGTTTGTGAGGCATGAGTCTGAGTCGCCGGCGCCGCCTTTAGTCCTTGAAAGATGTAAGTAGCTCTTCTTGAGAGGAGACAGGCGAGCTCTGTGGGTCATGCGGAGTCAGTATCAGATCATCCCGTTGTGCCATTTAACTGTCTTTCGTGCTGCCAAGGGTGGTGTGTCAACACAACCATGTTGGTTCCTTCTCTTAAGTTATTCCTGCTCTCTTTTTCTTCTTCTTCAAAGCCTTGAATCGCATCCAGTTACTTGGCCGTGTAGGACAGGATCCTGTCATGAGGCAAGTTGAAGGCAAAAACCCGGTCACCATCTTCAGCCTTGCAACCAACGAGATGTGGCGATCGGGAGAAAGCGAATCGTTCCAAGGAGGTGAGCTGCTGTCGCTGCTGAGGGCTCAGCGTTGTTAACTGTGACATATTTAGGGGGCTGTTCTGGCATTACGCTGTGTTAGATGAAAGTCTCAACTCCTTCATTTCGGCATAGGTTAATCAAAACCTATGTTATAATGCCAGTTTTTTTATTATTATTTAAGACCCTTTGTCAAAAAGACCACAGGGCAGAGAGCATAATAAAGAGGGTAATAATATACATAAGCATATCTGTAAAATACAAAAATTCCATAACCATTATATTTGTATTTTATTTATATTTATATTTTATTGTGAATCGCCCTGAGACCCCCAGGTGTAGGGTGGTATATAAATTCAACAAATAATAAAATAATAAAAATTATTATTATTTATTTCAGCAGTTTATATACCACTTAATTACAGTCTTCTCTGAGCAGTGTGCAAACCCCTCAATTCTCTGACTCTCTTTCTTTTCCTTTTCCTATCCCTGCCTTGTGTCCTTCATTGCTCTTCACTCCAGGGGGGTTCATTTTTCTTTGACTTCTCCCCCTCCTGCCCCTCCTGACCTTTTGCCATTGCTATTTCTGACCTTAGCTTAACATCCTGTTCCCAAATTCTTGGAGAGCCCTTATTCCTGAGGCCACCTTCACCTTCCATCTCCGCCATCTCCTGACCCACTCAGTGCCCCCAAGCACTTGTCCGTCCCCCCCATACAGTACTCTTAACACTGAACAGCAGGAACTAACTCGCCTATGTTGTAAACCAAATGTCTGCTGGAAAAAGTCCCCTACCCAAATGAACATGGCTCACTTTAGGGGTTTCTAGGCAAGCATCTCTCTGGCATTGAGGAACTTCATGGGGTCGCAGTGCAGCATGGGTGTCCTCAACAAGCCATACCCTCCATGTCTTGGGCAAAGGGTTCTACGTGCGAGAGTTCCTCTGTGCAAGGCCATGGAGTGCTGGGATTTGGGGCTAATAACAATCTTTTTTTGGAGGGTCTCTGTGCACATATGGCAACACACTTGTGGGGCTCCTTCACACAGATGCCGAATGCACTGTTGTGGGTGTCTGTTGTTGAGAAACGGGGTGGCTGCACTGTGAAACTCCATGATCACACGTTAAAAGAAAATGCGATGGAGTTGAAGTGAACGCTTCTTCCACCCCATGAAAGTTTTAGCCCAACATGGTGTCGTCCATCTGTTGTTGGACTCCCCCTTCCATCAGACCCAGCCAGAAATTATGGGAGTTGGTAGTCCCAACAACAGCTGTGGAGGGAGCCACATTGCAGAAAGGCTGATTTAACCCACCCTCTGGAAAAGACCATGAATCCACAGGTGTTTATCTGTTCTGTGTTTCCTTTTGACCGAGGTGATATTACACAGAAGACGACATGGCACAGGATCTCTGTGTTCAGGCCGGGGCTAAGAGATGTGGCGTATCAGTATGTGAAGAAGGGGTGAGTTAAACTGGGGGAAGTTTGCATAACAGTTGGGCGTTACAAAACCTCAGGAGCTTACTGCTGACATTCTTTGTATACCAATCTCCCCTGCACAGCAGACATGGGGAACCTGTGGTCTTCCAGGTGTTACTCAACTACATCTCTCATCATTCCTGACTCTTGGCCATGCTGGCTGGGACTGGTGGGAGTTGGGAGTCCGACAGCATCCAGAGGACCACAGGTCTCCCACTTCTGGTATAGAAAACCTGGGGTTGGTGGTCTGGCCTAATGTATGAATTGAGGCAGGAGGTCCCTGGCAATGAAATCACTTAGATGTTCTTAAGCAAGCCAATCTGTGCCTTAGACACAAGTCTACAATAAGGAGGAATACTAAGGCTTACTTTACTCGCAATAAGGATGATGGATGAAATATGTTTTAGTGTTCTTTGGAGCTATTTAAATGCATTTTGTTGTTGTTGTGGCCCTGGACACCTGACGGTCAGGACCCACCCTCTTCTTGTGACTATCTTGTTTTAATTCTGAAATTTTAAGTTGTTCTAACTCAACCTAGGACCTGCAGGTGAAGAACTGGTAATAAGTGTAGTGGTGGTAGTAATTAATGGTACTTATATATTTATTGGGACGTGGGTGGCTGTGGGTTAAACCATAGAGCCTAGGACTTGCCGATCAGAAGGTCGGCAGTTCGAATCCCCGCAACGTGGTGAGCTCCTGTTGCTCGGTCCCAGCTCCTAGCAGTTCGAAAGCACGTTAAAGTGCAAGTAGATAAATAGGGAGGTAAACGGCGTTTCCATTCGCTGCTCTGGTTTGCCAGAAGCAGCTTAGTCATGGTGGCCACAGGACCTGGAAGCTGTACGCTGGCTCCCTCCGCCAATCAAGCGAGATGAGCTCCACAACCCCAGAGTCGGTCACGACTGGACCTAATGATCAGGGGCCCCTTTACCTTTATATATTTATTTGCACTGTCCTCTCCTATTTGTGATCTAAATCCAGCTAAGCCACCAGATGTTCATTACACCAGAATGGAAGCCCGCGTGAGCCAGACTAGATAGTATATTTTGGCTGGGAGACCCAGATTCAAGCCCCCATGCAGCCAGCAAGAAGCCCACTGCCTGACCTTCTGGCAGTCACTACCTGCCAGCCTAGGCTGCCTCAAATAAAATGGGAGGAAGGAGGGAACCATGTAGGCTGCCTTGGTCTCCTTGATTGAAGGACAGAATATAAATGTAATAAATAAATAAGCCCTCGGGGATAGCTCAGTTGGTAGACCCTCTTAATCTCAGGGCTGTGAGTTCGAGACCCATGTTGGGTGAAAGATGCCTGCACTGCAGGAGGGGTTGGAATCTAGATTATCCTTGTGGTCCCTTCCAATTCCACAATTCTAGGAGTCTGAAAGCCCACTCACAACTTAAAATAGCCTTTCTGTGTGTGTGTGTGTGTGTGTGTGTGTGTGTGTAGACCCAGGAGGACCCATTTCAGTAGCCTGCTGTGATGAGACAGCCCCCCGCAATGGCTTTTGAAATCTTCCTTCCCTCTCACACCTTCTGTGACTATGGAATAATCAGATGAGCGCTATCTGTTAGCAGTAGCTCTTAAAGCACTACCAGCAAAATGTCACCATTAATCTCCCCTGTTGTCTTGTACTTGGCTTCTGGCAGTGCTCGGATCTACGTGGAAGGGAAGATAGACTACGGCGAGTACGTAGACAAGAACAACGTAAGGCGGCAAGCCACAACAATCATAGCAGGTAAAGAACTTCCCATGACAAGCCAGACAGGGCAAGTTGTTGCCCATGCATCCGAACCACCTTTCTCCTTCCTTGCTTCGAACAACAAGCCGGATTTAGATAGCACTGAGTAATGCCTTAAATGCCTAGCTTGTGCCACAAGGTGTCGCTGTTGGGTGCTCTTAGTGAAGACAGCTAAGTGTCTGCTCTGCGTCAGTTTTGCACATGCTTCTTCAAGTTCTCCCATTTTCTCATTGGTGTGTAAGTCGTTTTTATTTTAGAAAGTTTGCAGGCAATGCATGCCCTTAAAGGTATTTCCTCATGACGTATGAACGTTCAGTCATACTTTATCCCATTGTACACATTTTAAAACTTTGTTGTTGTTTAGTCGTGTCCGACTCTTCGTGACCCCATGGACCAGAGCACGCCAGGCACTCCTGTCTTCCACAGTTTGGTCAAACTCATGCTGGTAGCTTCGAGAACACCGTCCAACCATCTCGTCCTCTGTCGTCCCCTTCTCCTTCTGCCCTCAATCTTTCCCAACATCAGGGTCTTTTCCAGGGAGTCTTTTCTTCTCATGAGGTGGCCAAAGTATTGGAGCCTCAGCTTCACGATCTGTCCTTCCAATGAGCACTCAGGGCTGATTTCCTTAAGAATGGATAGGTTTGATCTTCTTGCAGTCCATGGGACTCTCAAGAGTCTCCTCCAGCACCATAATTCAAAAGCATCAATTCTTTGGCGATCAGCCTTCTTTATGGTCCAGCTCTCACTTCCATACATCACTACTGGGAAAATCATAGCTTTAACTATACGGACCTTTGTTGGCAAGGTGATGTCTCTGCTTTTTAAGATGCTATCCAGGTTTGTCATTGCTTTTCTCCCAAAAAGCAGGCGTCTTTTAATTTTGTGGCTGCTGTCACCATCTGCAGTGATCATGGAGCCCAAGAAAGTAAAATCTCTCACTGCCTCCATTTCTTCCCCTTCTATTTGCCATTTTAAAACTTACTTTGCCCTAAAATACAAGTTCATTTGTTTTCTAAATGCATCCTGATGTGTCTTTTGAGCTGAGAGCTGCATTCAGAAATTGAGAGGAGGACAGAATCCAAAGAACTACTACTTCCTTGTCTGTGAGCTTTTGCACGCTTCCCCTCTGCCGACTAAGAGGCTGGTCAGACTCTGTTTGCTTTCTCAAAGAAAGCGAGCCTTGTCTGAAAGTTCAGATTTCAGGAGTTTAGCAGGAAATACTTGAATGTCTGGCTGTGCCACCGATTATAGGTTTCCTCCCATCTTCCTGCGTTCTCTGTCCGACAGGGTGGTTGTTGGAGGAGAGGCAGCTTGGAGAGGTGGCTAAGGAAAAGAGGGAGAAAATAATTCCCTTTTAACGAACAAAACACCCGCCAAAAACATCCCACGGTATGTTGGTAATAACTTTGGGTTGTAGCCAGTGTTAGTCCTACTCAGGAGTAGACCCACTGAAACATATCAACATCCTTAACTTGGGTTCATTGATTTCAGTGGGTGTGCTCTGAGTAAAACTTAGCTGGATGCAACCCGTTATTAGGACCAACCCAAAAGTTGCAAAACATTTGTAAGCAGCTCACCGTGTAAAAGCCATTAGCTTTATTTTGGATAGGTAGTCCTGGAACGGCTGCACCCTCTGTTCTCTCCCCACGTACTGAGAACCCATGTGAGGCGGGTTGTGGGGTCAAGTTGACTAGCCCTGCTGGCACATTAAGTAGCCATTCATCAGCAGCATCCACCCATTGGCTGGTATGTGAATGCGTTCTACTTGCCTGCTGGAGATCTGCGAACTTGCCTGCTCTGGATGGTGGTTTTCTTGTATGGGCATCTGGTTTTAGTCTTGTTTTAAATGCTTCTGCTGTTTTCATAGTTTTTAACTTACTGTATTTTTCGGTCTAAAGGATGCACCTTGTTTTAGAGGGGAGAACAAGAAAAAAAAATCTCTCCCTCTCTGCGCAGTGCCCCTTCAGCGAAGCGGCAGGAGAAACGGAGCCCCTTCCATTTCTCCTCCTGCTTCGCTGAAGGGGCGCTGCACAGCTCTCCCTCTCTGCGCAGCGAAAGCAACACGAAGCCTCCGGAGCACGGTGGGAGCGCTCCCTCTGCGCTTTGGAGGCTTCGCGTTGCTATCGCTGAAGCCATGGAGCCTGCATTCGCTCCATAAGACGCACACACATTTCCCATTAATTTTTGGAGGGGAAAAAGTGCATCTTATAGAGAGAAAAATACAGTAATGTGTGCGTATCAACTTGGGATGGTCGCTTAGAAGGTGACTAATAAATCAGTGGTCTTTGACTCTGTGTTTGTGTTCATCCATGTTCGAATGCGTAACATCTCTCTTTTTCTCTCCTTGCAGATAACATTATTTTCCTGAGCGACCTTCTTAGAGAAAAGGAATGAGCGGTCTGTCCTGGGACCTGGTTTTCAGCTGTTCCTTTTTCTTCTTCTTTTGGTGGCATTTCCTAATTCTGCAATCATGTGTCTGCCTATAGTTTCTTTTCCATGATTAAAAATAACCTTTTGTACAAATAAGGAGGTTGGTGTGAGTGTTCTGTGTCTATTTTTGCAGCCCGTCCTCCTCTTTTCTTGATTCAGGCTTTTGCAGGGCTTTTTTTTCAGCCGGAACTCTCCGGAACTCAGTTCCTGCACCTCTCAGGTGGGCGCCATTGTCATTCTAAGAGAATGAGGGAGTCATTCATGGTGAGTTCCGGCACCTTTTTTCTATAAAAGAAGCACTGGGCTTTTGACATCTGTGTTTCACTTTGTAGAGAAAACTTGCAAAAGCAGGACATGTGTAAGAGAGAGAGAGAGAGATGTGTATTGTTTTTCACTTGTTAATTGTAACTGCTCTTCAGTTCTGTGGAAAATGATGTGATTGGTTTCAAGGATGGTGGGGAGCTATGCAAATCAGCAAGGCCCAGACCAGAGCCATATTTGATAGCAGGACTAGCCATATTCCGGCATTCTGATTACTTGTGTGTAAGCAAATGTGTGAGGAAGCTCTGCCTTCTCCACTGCATTCTGTTCTCCTTTTTTCAGCCTTCTATGAGCAAAGCTGAGAAATATTTATTTCTGGAACCTTGGTGGAGCCAGTCAGAGGAGGCTTCACTGAGCTAGATGGACCAATGGCGTGGCTCGTTATAAAGCAACATCCAGTGCCCCAGGTCAGCGTCCCTAAGTGCCTCTCAGATCTGCATTCTGCTCTTTGTATAGACCCAGCATGTCCCCCTTGAAATTATGAGGCTGCCAATTGACCAGTAAGGTTTACTGCGAGGAGCCTGTTTCTTGAGATCCCTTAACTTGAGGGGTGCAGAACATTTTTATTTCAGGGGTCACATTCCCTCATGGGTAATCTGTTGGGGGCCGCATACTAGCAGTGGACAGAGCTAGAGCTACTAATACAAAGAGCTAGATGGATTAACTAAGCTGGAATAAAGACCACCCTGCTACAACTTTTGCCCAAGGCAAACACAGTTTTGAATCCCCATTCCTGTGCCGGTCAACTTGGATGTAAGCTTCATAGAGTTATACAGGGTTTCTTTGAAACAAAAGTATACAGAGGACTTGCTTATTCTTAGTAGTACAACAGACCAATACGGCTACAGTTCTGGAAAGCAAGTGAAAGCAATTCCTTTCTGCTTGTAGTGTGCAGAGTCACACACACTCCAGAAGCCTACCAATTTGTTCTTGGTCAGCTGGGGGGTGGGGAGGAATTTCTCCAAGCCTAGGCCAAAGAAGTATAACTAGATGGGGAAACCACTTTTAAAGGTCAGGAAAATTAAGGGCAAAATGAACAGGAAGGAAGCAACTCTACTGGGATGCAAGGATTTGGGCAACTTCAGGAGGCGTCAGACGGAGGTCAGCTGTTTTTTTTTTTTAGCTGCAGGGATTGAATCTACGACTTGCACTGAGCTCAGCTTTGCCTTTCCTCTCTAGGTGCTACAGGATAGACACAAAGATTACATGTCCCTGAACTGCATTCTTCTGGGATCATGTTTAGTTTTGTGACCTTTTTATGTTCCTGTCGGTTCTCTGTTCAATATTTGCTTAGGTATGCATTGTGCCATCCTTTCCGCATCGCTCCATGGACTTGTCCCTGCCCTGGCCTCAGGCCCTCCTGACTGAAGCATGGCTGCATTGGCAAAGGGATGTGCGCAAACTGACAAAGTGCAGAGGAGCCACCTTGGGAGGAGCGGGGTGTTGTTTGTAGTAGCGGGGGCAGCTGAATGTGGGGGCAAACACATGCTGGCAGTGTGACTCAGAGCACACTCTGGCCAGTGTTTGCAAAGCAGAGTTTGTGAATGCTGGATTCTACTTTGCTTCCCTGTGGCTTCTCTGCCTCTTTAGGAGAGCAAATGAAAGAGCAGGACCCTTCTGACAGCTTCAGGCATAGGTAAAGGTAAAGGGACCCCTGACCATTAGGTCCAGTCCCGGACGACTCGGGTTGCGCGCTCATCTCGCTTTATCGGCTGAGGGAGCCAACATAGTCATGTGGCCAGCATGACTAAGCCACTTCTGGCGAACCACAGCAGCATACAGAAACGCCGTTTACCTTCCTGCCGGAGCGGTACCTATTTATCTACTTGCACTTTGATGTGCTTTGAACTGCTAGGTTGGCAGGAGCAGGGACCGAGCAACAGGAGCTCACTCCATCGCGGGGATTCAAACCACCGACCTTCTGAACAGCAAGCCCTAGGCTCTGTGGTTTAATCCACAGCGCTACCCATGTCCCTCGCTTCAGGCATAATCGACAGCAAATTGGCAGCCAGTTCAGACCACTGAACCAGAGGTGTTAAATGATAGTTCAATTGGTAGAGTGTGAGACTCTTGCTCTCAGCAGCGCGGGTTCAAGCCCCACATTGGGCAAAAGATTCCTGTGTTGCAGGGAGTTGGACTAGATTTCTCTTGTGGCCCCTTTCAACTCTACAATTCAGTGCTGACCAGGTCTCGCTCCTCTCAGCAACCGTGCTGCAGCATTCTGAGATTGGCTTAGCTCCTTGGGTGGGAGACTGCCAGAATCCCCAGCGCAGGAACAGTATCATAGGTGAAAAGGAACACACAATTATTATTTTTAAAACTTCCCACCATCTGCAAATGGTACAGCCTGGCAAAACCGGCTCTGTTTGTTTCCTTTCCCCCTGCTCAACAGGCGGGGAAATGGTTTACAGGCTCCTTGCGCTGCAGAAAATAATACATCTCACTCTGAAATGGATTGTTTTGACAGTGGCCAGGGTTGATATTGTTTATCCATCTTTTAGGGGGAAATGAGGGATTACAAACAATTACAGGAAGGCTGGCTCACTGACAATATTTGAGATGTGTTTGTGGAATGCACATTACCTGAGTAGTTTGCTTTTATCACACACCCCTCCCTATCTTGTTTCTTTTAAGGGGATAGCTTTTTAGGTATACATCTGTCTACACAACCCACTGCGGCGAAAAACAATTCAATGTTAAAATATTTTAGGGTGATGCAAAGGTAGGGCGCCACCTGGTATTGATTCAGACCCCTGGTCCATTCAGTTCAGTTTTGGGCTAGTGGCTCCTGGTGTTTCATCCTTCGCTGAAGAGGGCACAGACTGAACCTGGGACCCACTGCGTGCAAAAGAGCGGGGAGGGCCATAGCTTAGTGGCTGACCATCTGTTTGGTGTGCAGAAGGTCCCTGGCATCTCCAGTTAGTGCTGGGGGAGAGCCCTGTTTTGTAGATGAGCCCAACGGTCTGACTTTGCATAATAAAAATTCCTGTGTTTGTAGACAAAGCACCACCACCACCGCTGAGCAACAGAACCTCTTCCCTATAATAGCATATGGCTGTCCTGCAGCCAGCCACAATTGGAATGAATGGGCCTGTATTTTGCATGTGTGTTTAATGCACCTGAGTTCAAGGTTCTCTATACTGGAAAGTGAAAGCAGGGCACAGAGAAAGTCCCAGTCCTTGGCATTTCCCATTCAGAGGATTGGACAGGAGGTAGAGGGAAAAGGGACCAGAGAGCTACAGCTACCAGCTGTCCTAGCAGTGTGGGGAGATGGGGAAGATGCCTACAAACAGCCACCACTTTGCACCTCCTGTTATGTTATGTTGGTAATTACGGTATGTAAATCTTGTCATGTTGTAAGTCGCCTTGAGCATTGTTTCAACTATGGAAAGGCAGCATACAAATAAAATGATGATGATGATGAAGAACAGGTAGGAAGGTGAGCATACAGGGAGACATGGGCATGTTTAAAGGAGAGTGTAAAGTGCTTTTTTTCTGGGGACGACAACGCAGGGGGATGCATACCCCTAAACATTTTGTGAATCTAAGTTTGGCCTCATTGAGGGGCAGTATTTCAATATGAGTAGGAAAATGAGAGTACCCCTCTAAACATTTTTTTGTAGAAAAAAAGCCCTGGGTGTGTTTAACGCAGGAGTAGCTGAGCTCAGTGCAAATAGGAACTGAGCAGGAACAGCAAACAGTCTCTTGTGTATTGTAAATCTTTAAGGGTATATTTACTGAGGCCTTTTATGGATGTCACAGAGCTACAGTCAATCCCTTTTCCTGGAGAACTCTGGGAGTTGTAGCCCTGGGAACCGGGGTCTCCTAAAAACTCTCAGCACCCTTAACAAACTACAGTTCCCGGGACTAGATGAGGAGAACCTGTGGTCTTCCAGATGCTCCTTGACTGCAACACCTGTATTCTTGACCTTGCTGGCTGAGCCTGATGGGATTTGTAGTCTTAACAACTTCTGGAAGGCATCAGTTTTGGGGGGGAGGTTGCTGTAGACTCTGGCAAGTTGTTCAGTGCGTGTGTGAAGCCTTTCTTACATTCGAGAGTGATGTGCTGCCAGTGACTTTACCTTGCCACACTGACAATTCCCTCGTTGTCGACTTATGTAACCTATGAACAGGAGGGAGGCTGGACTCACTCCAGTTTGCAAATGGGTGTCATTCTGACCTCTTGGGTTTTGGATGGCTTGCTTGGTCCTTGACCTTTTCAACGTTGCTTGATTTGGCGGCTGCTGCAGGTTGGGGGATGGGATCAAAGCAGTCTTTTGAAATTCAGCTTCGCTCTTCCCTGTATGTATGTGTTTATAATGGGGGGACGGACACCTGTGGCCTCCAGATGTTGTTTAATCCAACTCCCTTCATCCCACTCTGCATGACCAGCAGTCAGGGAAGGTGAGAGAACATCTGGACTAGTCTAGAGGCTTGTCTAATGCCAGGCAGGGACCATTCTAAGCTGGGTATGTTTAGCCTGGGGAATTGAAGGCTTGAGAGGTGATAGGATAGTCATCTTTGAATACTTGAAGGGCTGCCACATGGAGCAAGCTTGTTTTCTGCAGCTCCAGAGGGTAGGATCCGAACCAATGGATCCAAATTATAAGAAAGTAGATTCCAACTAAACATCAAGAAGAACTTGGTGATGGTAAGAGCTGTTTGACAGTGGAACAGAAGGTGGTGGACTCCTCTTCATTGGAGATTTTAAAGCAGAGGTTGGATGGTCATCTATCAGGAATTCCTTAGCTGTGGTTCCTGCATTGCAGAGGATT